AAAATATTAAAAAAAAAAAATAGTTTTTGAAGTTGTCTAATCTAACATCCACTGCTACAAGGCCAGTGAGAAAGCCCAGGGATCAAAGGGACTAAATAAGAAGCTGGCTTAGAAGGTCACACTTTCAGTATTAGGAACCTTTTTTATATTTTGAGACCAGGTCTTGCTGAACTGCTGATATAACAGGCTGAGCTCAAATTTGTGATTCTATTGCCTTAGCTTCCAGAATTCCAGGTTACAAGCACGTGCCACCACACTTGGATTTTGGGGGTGGGGGGGTAATCCTAGGACTTGAAAGGAGAGCCTCCCACATGCTAGGGAGGCCCTCTACCACTGGAGTGTACCAGTGGAGTGCCTCTAGTCTCTTTCCAAACATAGACAGGATCTGTGGAGATGAAAAGTTAAGAGCTTGGTTGGGCACAGTAGTGCATGCCTGTAATCTTAGTTCTCAGAAGGCTGAGGCAGCAGGATCTCAGCTACATGGGGAATTCAAGGCCAGCCATGATTATATAGCAAAAACCTGTCCAAGACAGAAAAGGAGAAAGAGGAAGACTGATTGGAATTAGTATGAATAAAGCAGCTAAGTGAGTTCTAGATTCAAATGTAATTACTTGGGAAGTAGAGTTGGGAATATAAAGCTGAACACTGAGATCATGACCTTGGGAGGACCTCTTTAAAGTGGTGGGGAAGTGGCGCCCCCTGGTGGCCAAAAACAGATGCGCGAATGCGGCCTAAATATAGCAAATTACCTACCATGGGATAAACCTAATTTCTGCATTTAATACACTAGCTGAAATGCATGGAGTGCTTACTACTTCCAGTTATCTATGTGCACACACTCCCTTTTTTTTTTTTTGTGGTACCGGGGATTGAACTCAGGAATTTGTGCTTGCCAGGCAAGCACTTATTCTACTGAGCTATCTCCCTGGCCCCCATACACTACCATAATCCTCACAACTCTAAACCACGTAGCTAATAGTATCTCTAACGAGGAAGCCAGGCATGGTGTTGCATAACTATAATCCCAGTAATCCAGAGGCTAAAACATGAAGGGAGTTCGATGCCAGGCTGGGCTATACAGCTATATAGAGTCAGATCTTTGACATAGCTAGAATTCAGACCAAGCATGGCCTCATTCCAGAATATGTTTCTCAACTACCAAGATTTATTTGTGAAAGGTCTCACTACACAGTCCAGGCTGTCCTTGAATTTACTATGTAGCCCAGGCTGACTCCAAACTCACTGATCCTCCCAAGTGCTCAGGTTAGTACCACCATCACACTTAGCCCAAGATTTTTTTTTTTTTTTTTTCCGGAACCAGGGATTGAACTCAGGCTCTTGAGCTTGCCAGACAAGTGCTTATTCTACTAAGCCATCTCCCTGGCCCCTCCAAGATTTATTGTTCATGATTATAAATAAGCTGCAGCTTGATAAGGGGATTTCCCCCTTTCTGGTGTCCTGGATTGAATCCAGAACTTCATGCATGCTAGGCAAACACTCTACCAGGTCAGCCACATTCCCAACCTGAAGGGCATTTTTAAATCATCAACTTGTCTCCTAAAGACATCAGTACAATGTGTTGTTATAAAGATATTTAAAAAGATAAGGAATGATATAGTCTAACTCATCTGTAAAACCTTTGTACACTCATAACTGAAACTAGTAAAAATTCCTCCACACCTCAATACATAAAGATAGGACAGGACAAATATTTAGCAGCTAAAATGACCAAGAGGGGTAAAAAGGATTTTTTTTTTTTTTTTTGTACTG